CTACACAAAAGCCCAGAAAGAAAGGTGACCGTGACCGGACCCTCCACAACTACACCCACTCTCCAAATGGCCTTCGGATAGAGGATTACATGTACGATGATCCATGGGCAGCCAGTATACTCACAACCGACTCAAGTACGAACGCCGATCTCCTCAGACAATTGGAGACTGGATGCCGACTGGTGCCAGAATTATATCGTATGGAGAGAATCCAGCGGAGACGCAATCGCGAGACCATCGTTAATTTGCACAGGGATCCAACCGTTCGATCGATCGGACTTAGCCGGGCTCAAAGCGAGACGGATTCCATTGCCACGGCTTGTACAGATGTAGAGGAGAACGAAGAGGAAGGTAACCTACCGAACGTTAGCACCTAAACATGAACTCTGGTACGGAGTGTAAACTAAAACCCTGCAGCAAACCACAAGATCGCCTCCAGCATCGCGTCAGTAGAAAGTGTGGGACAAACCTCATCACCACGTGAAATCCTGCAGGGGACAGAATAGTTCTACCGCCTTCAGATGAGACACACACACACACACACAGTGTCTTACCCAGTCCAAGCCGTCGACAGCATCCCACTACGAAACATAAATGTGCCACAATAGTGACTAATGTGTTACCTTTCATTATTGTTTTCTAAAACCGATATCAGATACTCTTAGATGGATTTGTCTTGTTTCTGTAAAGAGGTTGTGCGCTTTGAATTAACAAACTGCAAGTAATGCTGTCAGTGTTGCTTTCATGGCGAGGGGATGCATTCTTGACATTTTCTTCTACCCTCCAATAAAATCGCCTTGGACTTCAAAGATCGATTACTTAGTCGTAGAAAGCGGTGCATTGTTAGGTTATAATGATACGTCGTAGCCGCACAACCGTAAGTGAAGCGTGGTGATCTTACCGATAATGAACAAGAGGCTAAGGGTGATCTGAACTAGTACGCAATCTCTATAAGCGGACATTCAAAAGCAAGGCCAGTAAAGCTAGCAAAAGCATAAGATCGCCGTTGGATAACCACCGTTTACAAAGATGACAGCATCGGAAATACGGGTTCTTCGCAGTTTTCACTGCAGTTAGCGACCTGGTCAACGTTACCACACAGATACCTCGGCGTCACATGCACTGTGAACAAAGAGTACGTCTTGGAAACAGCAGTAGACAGCCCATTAGGTGGTGCCATTTATGGGCAAAGCACAGTATACATGGTTTGGACCACAGTTCGGAAGCGAGACGGGCCGACAACCTCCGGTTCAGCGACCAGGCTTTTTCTCTCGTAGCCAATCCAATGGCCGGCCCCGAAGGCTTAGCTCCACATAAGCTGGGACGCTGTTCAGGGCGCGGAAGCACTTGGCAGGTGACCGAATTGACACAACCCATTCAGTTGTATATCCTAACGCATGGATCGATCTGAACATCCCCAAATAAGTTTTGTTTACTATCCACAGTCACTGGTCTACTGTTACCACTGGCTGTGAGCAAAGTTATGTAGGCATCGGTGGTCGAGAATCGAAAGGTTCTACCGACCAGCAGGCAGAATTGTTCGACCCACGCACCACAGTGGGTAAGGCCCCACTGTGTTCCGGCAGACACAACCAAGGTAAAAATACCCTACAGAAATTAACAATGTCTCCGCTTTGCGATACGGAAGTTAAGTACACAATCCACATGTCTTGGCTCCTAGTGAACGGGGCGCAATGATGGCTCCGATCAGTTCTCCGCAATCACAATGAACAATGATTTCTCACGGGATAAAAGCAAGTGCTTGACACGTACGCTAGGATGGTTGAGGTGAATACGATGAAATCAAAATATATGTACGTCATCTACTGAGCGTCTACCGAGATAAATAATTCGATAAAGAACCTCAGTGTAAAACAATAGTGGAACCGTTCAGAAATACACTGGGGTGCAGTGGTCGTTGATATAACGCGCAAGAAAATTAAATCACGGTCGCTCAGTTGGATCCATTTGATACCTAAATCCTATAGAAAAACGTGATTGGCGTACTCTACAACAGAGAAGTTTAGGTAGTAAAGTACTGGGAACTAAGAGCAACATCCTATCGTTTTTTGAGAACATACAAAGTAGGGAAGGATACACCTGAGTCTGGGAGTGCGTTCCAGGGTTGGCAAACCCGGAAGGAAAAGTAATTCCGTCGACACTCTAGACGGCTATAGTGTTCCTTCAATTTCAAGCAGTTACCCCTGAGCTGCCTGTTGTGGCTAAATTTCAGCAAGTGACGGTATGCGTGATTGGCATCACTCAATATTTGATATGCTAATATGCGATCACCGCGCAGTCTTCGGTAGTGTCCGATGAAAATTCCCAGCAACTTCAGCCTTCCGTGGTTAAAGTGATAGCGCAGGTCCTTCACATTCTTTGTTGCCCTACCGCCGCTAAGTCGTGCTGCAACCAAGGTTGCCAAGCTTGGATAGCGTAGTCAACATGCGGGCACACGTAGGAATTGTGCATCATTGGGAAAATTGATAGGTCAAATCTCCCGAAAGACCCTTCGCTGCATGCGACGTGCTGGTTGCCTCTTTTCGTAGCTACCTCAGCCTGTTTTGAACAGTTGAGGTCGCTCTGTACGAGCACACCAAGGTCACGTTCTTGGGAGCTGGTCTGCAATCCGTGTGTCCCAAGCAAATATGTGTAGTCATGTCTATGGCGTAATTGCACAACACAACATTTGTCTACGTTGAATGGTAGGGCGTTTTAAACTGACCAGTTCGACACTGTATTAAGATCGCACTAGAAACGTTCGTGGTCGTCCGGTCCCCTGATCCTTCGTCATATCTTAATATCATCGGCGAAAAATTGGAAATCGGAAACAACTGATCTCGCCAAATCGTTAATGAACACTAAGAATAGACGAGGTCCAAGCACCGAGCCACACACCACATCCATTGCATCAGACAATGATTCTCGGACTCTCAACTCTAGCCGTCGTTCGTGTAGAAAATTGCTACTTCAACTCAGGATTGGGTCACCAATGCCGTAGTTCCGAAGCTTCTGAAGAAGAAAGCAATAATCTAAGTGATCAAATGCATTTGAGAAGTCCAGGTAGATGACATCGTGAGGTTGTGATGTTGTCTCAAAACGACGGTGGAGTAATAGAAACGAGGAGAATGCGTGGGCTCGTTAGCTGCTGGAAAGTTTGGGAGTAATGAAGCCGTAGAAGATCGGCTGCTTCCATTGCTGACCGCGTGCATCCATCAGGCGTGACTAGTGCTGCAATCCCGGCTTCACCTTTCAAAGACCGTTAAGATGCCTATACATAAGTTTGCGGTTCGTGCAAGATCGTTTCATTAACTCCTGCTGATGTGTGACCTTGTTCTCGAGGATCAGATCCATACAGAACTTGCGGTGTGTCACGTTTGCACTCCAGGTATCGATATTTAAGAAGTTCTTGTGAGCTCTCCATGCCAAACCCCTCCGGGATATTCATTTACGTGTTCTGCTCCTCAAAAGTGATGTACATTCCTTTTTAGGTTGGAAGGACTTCTGTTCCGATGCGTATGCTATCAGTGTGCAAAACGTCGTTGTAAAGGTTTCCCAGGCAACATCTGGGGGCATTCGGTTAAAAAAGTTCAAGACGTATCCTTAACAAGCGTAGATAACGCGTTATAGTACTTGATAGTGTGCTTTATCATCCTTCTTCAAAGTGGTTTGGACTAGTGGTGGCTCTGGTTGACGATTTATTTCCTAAGTTGTTCGCCGAGTTCGACAACTTGGTTGCAACGAAGGTTGGCAGCATGTTCACCTATTTGATTAAAACAAAAGACCGAAGGTAAACAACTGTTTTCGATGATTCATCTTCGGACCCGTACAATCATATGAGTGAAATAGCAATAGGCGTAAAAGTGGATTAACGATCAGTGCAAATGAGCTTGATCATGTGCCGACCAAACACATGCACCAGTAACAAACAGCAAACTAGAAGAGAGATGCAGTTGCACAATTGCAGTTGCTCTCAGAAGGATCCGTTTTGGCTGGCCGAGGTAGCTTAACAGCTTCGATCAGCTTCTTTTGTGCACACAAAAACGCTTCATACAACCGAATGCTGGTCGCCTCGGCAGTAGCAAGGGTGCGGAGGCGCAGGCCTTTCGACTGGAGTGGAGGGACCCTGTACAGTATTCAAAAGGTACGGATTGGATCAACGTCATGCTCGGTAGCAACATGGTGAGCCATAACAGAGCTAGTTATAGCCCCAGTACCGGTACAGGGTCCCACCACTCTAGTCGAAAGGCCTGCGCCTCCGCACCCTTGCTACTGCCGAGGCGATCAGCATTCGATTGTACCAATCGCTTTTGTGTGCACGAAAGAAGCTGATCGAAGCTGTTAAGCTACCTTGGCTAACCAAAACGGATCCTTCTGAGAGCAACTGCAATTGTGCAACTGCACCTCTGTCCTAGTTTGCTGTTTGTTACTGGTTCATGCCTTTGGTCGACACATGATCAAGCTCATTTGCACTGATCGTTAATCCACTTTTACGCCTATCGCTATTTCACTCATATGATTGTACGGGTCTGAAGATGAATCATCGGAAACAGTTGTTTACCTTCGGTCTTTTGTTCTTGATTAGAACACCTTTGCGCGCAACAATCTTGAACTCAAGTTACCAATTGACGGAGTTGAACGTACTCCGACATTCAAAGAACACAGTTATAATCCACTTACAGTGCGTGTGATATCGTTTTAGCACCTGCCTCATTGTTCTATCTTCTGAGGTTCGCGTTCTGCAGTAAGAAAACGGATGAGAATTGAGGCCAATAGTTTTGTCATTACTGACGTCAGATAGATTCTGCAAACGGCATCATTGCTGCACCCGAATGTTACCGCAGAATCAATCGCCGGGTTGATGTGACAGTCTATTGTTTCCGTTCTTGTTAGAAAAAATGAACCAAAAGCTACTGAAAACGGCACCATTCTTGAATAATATTGGTAGGATGAGTGAAGATGAATGGGGGAATACCCATCGCGGGATGTTACCACACTTCAAATTGCGGAATAATCACGCAGGTGGGGACCAGTATGGACCACCAGTCCATTTGATACCAAAAGCATCCTTTTGATAAAACACAGGCGGTTAATACATTCTGATGTCTGCAGCATTCGGACCTCCACAAGCCATTCTTAACAATTGGCTCGTGGGATACCGCTATTCTTATTCGAGTGAGTGAAAAATACTGAGAACATTCTGCGAATAGAGTGAATTGCTCGATCTTCCACATGAGTTGGTTGGTGTACTGCGCACGACAATCGGGGAAAATAATGACAATAATAACAGTAGCAATAACAATGCTGTCAATAATAATAATAATAATAATAAGCATAATGTGTTTTCATCCGCGAAACTATGAGCAGTTCTGATGAT